GCTGCACAGTAGTACACGGCACTGTGCTCAGTCGCTCTCAGGTCCGTTATGAATAAAGAACCATTCTTTGCTGTGTTTGTACTTAAATCTCCAGTGATATTGAAATGCTCTTTATATAATTCTTCGTAGTTTATTTGGTTGTACTCCACATATCCGATGAGTTTTAGAGCCTGGTCCGTGGGTGACTGCTGGTACCACAGCATCACTCTGTAGTCGACCTGTCCGTGTGTACAGAGGAGCTGCACAGCGTCTCCAGCGTTTCTGATGAGAGCGGAGGGAGACTGGTCGACCTGAACCCCCAGAGAAATACCTGCTGTAAGCACAGAGGGACAGACTGACTGAAGAGCTGAAGGTTCATACAGTTAAAAATGTACTTCACACTGAAGCAGCTGTTACCTGTGAGGAAAGAGCAAAAGAGAGATCTAATCATCATGATGAGATCTGACATGTTGCACTGAGTTTCTCTAAAGTCACGAATGAAAAGTTGAGGTGTCACAGAGAGTGTAGTGCTTTCTCAATAAAGTGAGTCTGATTTAAGGAGGAAGTGAACATAGACAGGAGGAGTGGCTCCATGTGGTTCAATTCTTTACAGCCTTCCATTCACCTGATTCTCTTGAAGAACTTTTGATTTATTTCGTTACAGTAGAAATTGCACTTGTCTGGTTTGAATATAATGCACAAAAAACAACAACAAAAGAGATAAACTGTTTACTCTCCAGTAACATTATCTAATGATGATAAAATTGTGTCAAACAAATATCAAACCACAAAAACAGGTGTCTGGCAGCAGGCTATTCCGCCTCTCATTTAAAACCAGCGATGATAAAAGGTGCAGGTTTTTGTTAAGTACACAGGGTATTTTTTTCATTGTGCTTCTGATGCTGCACAGTAATAAATCGCACTGTTCCCTTTTCTGACTGGGTTGATTATGAGAGAGCCAATCTTTGCTGTGTTCCCTCTCAAATCTCCACTAATGTTAAACTCCTTATCTTGAGTCATTTCCATTGTTACATCGTTGAAGTACAAATATCCAATGAGTTTCATAGCTGTGTCTCCTGTTGAGCGCTGGTACCAGAGCATCACCCTGTAGTCAGTTTTATCATGGCTGCAGAAAATCTCCACGTTGCCATCAGGTTTTGTGACGAGATCAGAGGTAGACTGACGGACCTCAAGACCCAAACAAATACTTGCATGGAAAAAAAGAGGAACAAACAAACAGAGAAGAAAGCGGGTCATTTTGTTTTCCTCTAAATAAACGAATTTCCCAAAATACTGAGATCTAACGTCATATCACAATGTTAGTGATGGACATATAGCTGAGCTCTCCTGTCACGAGGAAAAGGAAGAAGTAACCACAATAAGCTGGCAGAGATGAAAGTGTCAAACAAAATGCAGCTGGGAGGAGTCAGAGGTTGGATTGAAACCATACATGTTGATTAGGTTTCGTAGTTTTTGTGTTACGAAGAACAAAATTAGAGCAACTGTGCCTTGCTGGCTGCACAGTAATAATGAGCACTTTGCTGAAGTCCAGTTATTTGGACCTTTAAAGAGCCGGTCTTTGCTCCATTTCCACCCAAATCTCCAGTGATGTTGAAATGTTCTTCATATGGCTTCTCTGTTTTGACATCTTGGTAATACAAATATCCAATGAGTTTCATAGCTGTGTCTCCTGGTGAGCGCTGGTACCAGAGCATCATCCTGTAGTCAGTTTTATCATGGCTGCAGAAAATCTCCACGTTGCCACCAGGTTTTGTGACGAGATCAGAGGGAGACTGACGGACCTCAAGACCCAGAGAAACACCTAGAAAAAGAGAGAGGAAATAATCAGTGCTGAAACTTGAAGATGAAGTGGTATTCCTGAAGCGTGAAAGTGATTACCAATGAGCCAAGAAAAAAAGAATAGTGTAGGCATGTTGACTCTGTCTGAATGAGCACTGATCAAATCATTTACATCACATTTTATAGCTGTGCGTTAACCTGAAGAGTTTTTTCTTGAGCCCCAGCGCCACCAACAGGAAGATGTAAAAGTCAGAGCTTTGTAGTTGGTGGTGCTGTTAGCCTGCATTCTGTTATGTTGACACATATTCCTTTTATTTTGTCCACCAGTCAAATCAGTCCCTCTTATATATCCATGTTATATCCCCCTTTGTATCCCTTTTATATAGTAGGCCACTTTTTATTCTGAATTCGTAGCAACATTAAGTGTTCAACCTCGTCTGACTGCATGCGTGGGTGACTTCGATTGTATTCGAACGAATTTTGTGCCACGTCTTTGGAACTTTTTTGAAAAAACTGACAGCTCAAATCTTTTTTTATTCATATTCATGCTGTATTCTTACATTTTTGTCCCCTGTATCGTCCGTTTGTCTATAATGAACTTGAAGACCGGGCTCAAGCTGCTTGTTGGAATATTATCATATCAGGCCATTGTGAGTCATGCGTCTGTTTTTTTCTGCAACTTAACAAGTATCTGCCACACTCCACTGTCAACTTCATTCTTCGTGGCTGAGAATTTGCCTTTGGTTAAATCCTCAAAGTCTGGATGGCTCCTGAAAGGCACCGTGGAGACAATCAATCTCATCCTCTCCCCTGGTAACTGTAGATACCACTCCATCTGAAAAAATCTGCCTCCAAGATCATGACTGCAGTTCATCTGAGCAGACTGAGCCCTCTCTACCAGTAAACTTGAGGTTTGATGGATGGGAATCCTGCTACAACCTAAATGTTTTGTCAACAGAAGAGGACAGGCAGACAGTCCAATGAACTCAATAAAAAGATGTTGGATACCTGCAATACAGAGCAGAGAAACGATGAAGATGATGCCAGCTGATCATTTTGAGCTTGAAAGTGCTTGCACAGTGAGACGTATGACAAAGCAGCATCTCATCGTCCATCCAGTCATGTGATGATAATCTCTTCACAGACTGTATGGACAACGTGTCTCAACTTCCTCCAGTTGTACAAAAATGAGGCTGAAATATCCTGAACCTGAGAAAATCTGAACCAGAATCTTGACTTCCCCGTCAGTAAATCCCGGTACATGAAATTAAATTCGAAAACAATAACACTGACAAGCTGAAGAGGACAGGTTTATGTAATGTGCAGGATAAGTCATCGGGCAGCACATTGCTAAAAAGACATCATAAATGCATTAAAAAAACACAGGATTCAAAGCAGCAGTTACCAAGTCTGTGTCAGAGGTCTGCACAGGTCAGTAATTTGTAACCTGATAATGACAAATTAACAATGCAAACATAAGCAGCGAACACAAATATCTTTTTTATTGTTAAAAAGACAAACGTAACACCAAAACAAAAAAAAGTACCGCAGATTCTAGTCTCGTTTGTTGCCCGTTACTGTGGACAAGTTGACCTTTTAAAGAAGAAATGACATGTGGAGGTTTAGACCCTTTGTTTCCGTCAGCAGAGCTAGAGTAATGGAACACCTCAATGTATTTTATCAGCTAGATTGAGTTCTAGCTCATGAATGACTGCATTGATGCCAGCAGATGGCAGCCTGAGTCTGAGCCTCACTACTGGTAACAGTTTTGTATTGACTTCTAGTGTGTAAGAGTGTAACATGCATAGAGTCAAGTCAGTTTTATCCGTTTAGCAGCAAATGATAACAGAAGTTGTCTCAGGTCAACGAGAAGCTGTGTTGTTGCTTTTAGAAATACTGAAACTGGAATATTC